ACATATTGATGCAGCATTTACAGCACTTAGTGAAAGTATTACAGAGAGGTTTAAGAAAAGTACATGACTGATCTGCAGGTTTCAAGGCTGTCCTGTTGGCCGCTGTTCAGAGACTGTCTGGCATATACCATCAGTGCAGCAGCGGTCCTTGCCATGATATCTGACAACAGAATTTACTGGTAAGAGCACAAGTAGTGTTGAATTCCTCTTGACTGGAGATTTGTGAGACAGTGTTTTGAAAAACAAACAAAAATCCCCAAGCCCCAAACTTCCAAGTAGCCTGAACTGCCGTTCACTAACAGAAATAAACATCCCGTTGGAAAAAGTCACAATGCTTGTGAAGATTATTACCTAAACATTCAAACTCTGCATATTTATGAAGTTTGATCTGCATAGGTCTGTCTGTACAGACTTCACAATTTCTATCACAACTGTTCTGACATAGCAATTAGTGTTCAGCATTTACTCCTTTTGAGCCTTTCCTTTCACAGCAGCATTGTTCTGAAAAAGATTTGTCTGCCAGGAGATCATGAGTTTCTGATGTTTTAACTCCTCCATCAACACTGAAACTCCTGTTACTTCAACAAGACAGTCAGGTCCAGCATTAAGTCTCTAGAAGTTTATAATTTAAGCATTACATGAAGACTCAATTTTGCAAACATCAGGAAAATGTTCAATCAGTAAGATCCCCTGAAAAAACATGCAGCTATACAGTATACAAACAAAGTTCTGCAGGGGAGGGGAGTTTATCAAACTGCTGAAAGACATGGGGACACTCACAAACTTCCATGACAGCAGCCATACAATTGCAAATAGATGCTTTTGTGTGTTCCCCTTTTGCTATTCATGCAAATTTTCTCTCTCTCTCATTATGCCCACAATTGGGTTCTTTTATACTACATGTCATATAAAACTTGTTTTTCATTCTAGGTATGAAAGTGCATCCCTATTATTGATATATGGGTGTTATATTCTGGTACTATGTTTTGACATTAAAATCAACCAATACCTCATGAAAAAGTTCAGTCCCTGCTGTACATGTTTTACAAAAGCCATGGAAGAGAATGCAGAGCAGCAGCCACTGGTTGGATGGAGGGATGAGAGTGGACCTCTAATTCGTCAACAGTCAAGAACAGACAGTGGAATTTTTCAAGATGAGCTGGACTACTCTCAACTTTCAACAAGCTTACACGGGCTCGATGAAGTATCTGAAGGTACAGGTATTACACCTGTCTCTAGCACTCCACATGCCTGTCTGCATCAATTCTGATCAAGAGCAGGTTCTCAGAGAGTATTAAGATTTTGCTCGCTAAAGAACTCCAGCTTAGTATTTAAGTAGATCATTATTCAAACCTGGAATATAACATTGAGCAAAATCAGAATGATGGTTTTCATATGAAGTTAGGTGCTAGACGAATGCAAGGACAGTTGCACATTTGTGTCATAGTAGAACTTCTGTCTTTGTTGTATTTGAAACTTTTCAGCAACACTGCCTGTAAAATGCACTGTCATCTGAAAGCCACAGGGGTACTGTACTAATATAACTATTTCCTTATGACAGTGGAAGGTTCATAGCCCAAAATATGAATAGTATCAAAGTAAAGGGATAGCTGTGATGTGGCCCCAGGTCGTGTTTCCTCTTGGGCAAAAAACAGCAGTTGGTACTTACTCCTGGTAAATGTTACAGGTAAACCCTCATAAAAAATTAATTTTCATCCACCTTAGTCCTCCCCTGGTGATGTAATAAAAAACATTTTAATCATAGAACACTGAGTTGGAAAGGGATCTCAAGGATTATCTGGTCCAAACTTCCCTGGCAAAAGCATGGTCCCAAATGGGTCAGCACCTGTTCAGCTGAATCTGAGAAGTATCCAACACTGGGGAATCACCACTCCTTGGGGAGATGATTTTACTAGTGATTATTCTCACTGTGAATAAATGTTTTTCTTGTGTACAAGCAGAATCTCCTCAGAAGTACTTAATTTCAGAATTTTGTCCAGAGAGATGTAAGTACGGGGTAATACTACAGCTGAAACTTCAAAAAGAATTATTTTTCATCTTTTTTCAGTATTCTCACAAGTAGAAGACAGTAATATACTGTATGCTATGGATTCAAACTTAATGCTACAATTTAAAAGTTACTTTTTCTTCAACAGATCATCCGAATGTCTTCACCATGCCTGAAGCAGATATGAAGAGAATTTTGTGGGTGTTATCGCTTCCTATTATCACACTACTCTATTTAACTATACCAGATTGCAGAAGACAGTTTTGGAGGAAGTGGTTCATGGTGACATTTTTAATTTCAGCAGCATGGATTTCTGCAATAACTTATGTTCTTGTATGGATGGTAACAATAGCAGGTAGGTACCAAAAGTGGTGTTGCTATACCAGTGAAGAATCACTGAAAAAGTTGTGAGGTTTCCCTGTGAGGTCTCCCTTTAAAAGTCAGTTTAGCAACTCAGACTGTGATGTAAAAAAACACAATAAAAACAACAGGAACTTACGTTTGACTGCTTAGTTGCCACCCTCTTCTATCCAAAGATCCAACACTTTAGAGTTTAGCTGCTTCACAATGCTTACCATCACATGAATGAGAACTTCATGTAGCTACAAAAAAACTGGTCTATTTTTAAAAACAGAGTTTCACTAAACTGCTTCATTAAGCAAAACAATTAGACACACACACAACAATAAACTTGTCATGCTGAAAGCTGACAAACATGAAATCCACTAAGACTGGATTTAGAGGTCAAAGTTTTTGGAAAAAATCTGTAATTTCTACACCTGTGTTTTTCACAAACATTACAGTAAGAGATTTGGCATTAAATTAACTGCCAAAACACTTCTCAAATGGTGTTTATTAAACATTCTCGGAGTGTGTATATATGGACCTCTTAAAAACCTGCATCATAAAGTGGGGCAGTAAAAGGATTGCATTTAAGTGAGAGAGGGGGTATGAACTTGTATGTAAAAAACCTTCTCCTAAAAGTACTTTGAGGTATTAAAGGTCTCCTCATTTCACTGTTTCTCATGTCAGCTTGAAAGACATCCAGTTTTTAATTTTAAGAACAAGCAGAAAACAAAACTAAAACTCTACAGAAATTTTTCAAAGCTTGCCATTTTCACATTATAGCTCACTAATCCTACTCAAGTATTCTACTAGTTCAGATATGAATAGCTCCTTGTTCAGTGCAGAAACAGACCAACGCATTCAGAAAACCCTTGAGAAATTACTAGTAGATCACTGGATATTATACCCACCATGTAAACCCTGTGGTTAAATCATTTTCCACTTGTACCTACACAGCAAGGGTTCACCGTCTGGATGCTAAAAGCCTTTGAAACAGGATTCAAGTCAACATTATTGCTGTTCTACAAGACAAAGCATTAATTCATATGAAAGTAGGTACAGTGGAGATTCAGAGTGTATTAGTTCACTTTCAAGAGTCATCACAGGTAGTACTGGGGTCTTTGGCCCACTACTTCTAGGTAAATTATATTCTATTTACATGTTAAAACACTACAAGTTAAACACACAGTATATTCAAGTTCAGGCTCTCATGAAGGTTGACTCAAAGGTTCTATCATTGCATAATCAGCCTATCAGAATGTCACAAAGGTATCATAGCTGGGCACTAAACTGGGATGGTCAAGAACAAAGTTACCTTAGAACATCTTTCTGTTGCTGGCAAAGAAAATTTAACTACTTATAGCAACACATCGCTACTGATACACAAAATTGGCAAAAGCCTAGAAAGGTAAGACTATTCTGTCTTGGTGGTCAGTTGCCAGAAAAAAAAAAAATGAACCACTACACATTAAATAGAAATCTATCTAAGAAAAAGAAAAATTAGTTTCTCCTGAGTTTATATTCTGTTTCATAACGTTCAGAGGGCTAGAAACTAATGTTGGATACATAAGGCTGGTTCATTCGTATTTCACCTTGGTCTGAACCATTATTTTCCAGCCTGGATGGTTTATAAAAGCTGATTTGTTGGTCCCTCATCCTACAAATCTATTAGAAGTGGTGGAAGGACAAAGAGTACAAATTCTCCAACAGGATCGTGTTAGTCCCTCTGAAACCAACAGTTTCAAACATAAATTTATGGGGCTGCTCTAGACTAAGCTGGTAAGTAATAGACAAGCATTGCTGACCTAGCTTAGCATACTGCCTCTTATTTAAATGAAATTGCTCTTATTAAATGTGTCAAAATATTTCAAGTAAGAACTCTGATTTCAACAATAAAAAAATTAAGATACATTTTAGTGAACAGAAGTTTAAGCTTAACTAGAGGTATGAGATACTTCAGCATAATGTTGCTTCTGAATGGTTCAACTGCTAAAAGAGTTTTGAAGAATCCCTGCATTTTAAGTTAGAAATTAATACAGTTACAGGACATTTGGGGCTAAGAAAAATAGAGATTACGGAAAAATAAGCTGACCTTCTAATAACAGTTTAAAACTTTTTTTTTTAAATTCAAACAAGTATTTCCCTAAAGGAACTCACACTTATATGGGGTTACTTGTACTTACAAGTCATATAAAAATCCTGCGTGTTGATTCTTCCAAATCACTTTCTAATTGGAGTGAAATGGTAAAGGCATGTAGTTGAGACAGTATTCTCATATCTTAATGACTGTCCTCCCCAAGAAAATTCATGTGCTTTTTCCCCTCCCCCTGAGGGGGTTAAAAAGAATGATTATAAGTTATTGCTTCATGAGATTTTTGAACACTAACAATGAGATGCCCAAAACTGTAAGAGAGACTATAGTATTTTCTAGAAATTGAGGGAAAAAAAAGAGTAGTAATTTATGAGATATTTAAACTCCTACTTTTATCTGGAAGAAAAAAAATCACAATTGTTATTGTCTTGACCACTGCAGATTTGAAGAACAAGGAAAAGGGTATTTGTTGTTCCTCTTTAACTGCTTTGTGGTTCAGTCATCTCACATGTAGTTAAGGTTAGCTGACACATTCCATTTGAAATTACTGTATGATTACTGATTCTTTCTCTAGCAAACAAAGTCCAAAGCACTTTCTTTGGATGAACTCTAACTAAAACCACACTTGGATTTCCTACCATTATTTCTCAACTGCAGGTGAAACGCTGGGAATCCCAGAGTCAGTAATGGGTCTCACATTACTCGCAGCAGGAACAAGTATACCAGATACAGTTGCAAGTGTGCTGGTTGCTCGAAAAGGTAAAGATTTTAGTATTTAGGCTCATGCCAATGGATGTGTTTAAAAGGTACTAGAAAAAGAAAGAATTCCAGTCAACATTTTGATAAATTCAAGGAGTAACTTCAAAATTTGTGCTCCAGATTTTAGAGCTTATGTTTACTAAAAATAAATAAATAGCTTACCTGAAAAAGCTGTGGCTCAGACATTTAAAAACTTCTCAAGAGTATCTCAGAGAAGTATTCTAGATTGGTTTAGTTGTTGTTGATTAAATATTACAGTTTTACTGCAGAACACAACTGTAGGTCTTGGTATTTTAAACATAACTGGACTTTATAATAGCCTATCTAGCTTAATTTTAAGTGCAACTGTGCAGATGCTGGTGATTTAGGGAGACTTTCTATGGTTGTGGTACCCATGTTCTGTAGAATCGTGACTATAGTTCTTCTGACGACAAATCTGAAAAGGGCTCTGTGAGAAACTGAGGGCTGGCAGTCTGTTCCTCCAAAACAGTTTGGCAATTTCATGCAATACAACTAAGCCAACTTATTTGTACTTCTTCTTTTACAGGAAATGGAGATATGGCTATGTCTAACATTGTAGGATCCAATGTGTTTGATATGCTCTGTTTGGGAATACCCTGGTTTATAAAAACTGCCTTCATAAATACATCAGGACCCCTAGAAGTGAACAGCAATGGTCTGATATACACAGCCATTTCTCTTATCTGTTCTGTTGGTTTTATTTTTCTGGCAGTTCACCTGAATGGCTGGAAAATAGATAAAAAATTGGGAACAATTTGTCTTGTCCTGTACTTAGTATTTACTGTATTATCAATTTTATATGAACTTGGCATCATAGGAAACAATCCTACAAGGGTCTGTGGTAACTAGTTTTAATCAGTGATTATGCTGATGAAAAAAATAAAAGCAGGAGAAAACAATCAGTTTCTTCATTTAGTCAAAATAAAATTAAAAAAACTAACTCCAAACTCCCATTGGGCTCTAAATCTTATATACAGAACTAAGTCATGTCATTAAAGTAATATTAGGTAGAACAAAAACATCACAGCCTAATTGGAGCCCTTTCTTTTAGAGTCAAGAATTACAGTATGACTACAACGCACATATAAAACCAAAATTCTGAAAAAGACATCTACTTTTTACATTACAATGTTGATACACACTGGAGGGGAAAAAAAAGATCAGAAAACACCAAATAAATCCCACTATGCAATCTGGAGATTAACAGAGAAAATGGCTTATTTTATTAAAAACAGTATAACCATTCATTTAAACTGAATGACTAGAGACACTTGGCCTAATTTTCCAAAGGCACTGAGCATCCAAAGAATCCACAGTCTATAGGGACCTGCAGGTGCTCAGTGCCTCTAAAAAAACAACAAAAATCAGGCAAATTGTCTTTAAAAACCAAACATAGTAAGATTCAGTTAACAAGAATCACAGTATATTAAACACTATACTGTTAAAGGCTGGTGGGATTTAAAAGTTCCTTTTTACAGCTTTTGTAAGCATACAATGTTACTAAAAATGACTTACTAAGATAGAGAAGCTAAACAGACATAGGAATGTTCCTGAACACACAGTTTTAAATTATGCATTGCGATCCAAGCGGACATCAATTTCTCTGCCACTGATTTTTATGCCGTTCATTATCCTACAGGCCTTTTCAGCAGATTCTGGTGAGTCAAATCTGACTGTTCCACAGCCCTTTGATTTTCCATTCTCCATTTTTATTTCTGCAAACATTACATGACCTGAATAAATAAGTTAAACAGCGGTTATTTCAAGTTCTCACTGTATTAACAAATTAAAGAACTCACAAGTCATAAAAAAACATTTTTAAGTAAGATCTAGGGGAACATACTATATTGGCACTTTCAGACTGATGGTACATTCACTCATTCAGGCAAGGTGACACAGCACAAAACAGCAGGAAAGAATCCAGATCCGCTGTCTTGAATCTTTCCTGAACTATGCCTATATTTGACTTCAAGTTTGAAACAAAGTGCCCCATAAGACTCAGGGAAAGGTTTGTGTTTCATACTGACACAGGTGTCATTAATAGGCATTAACTGAACTGTAGCTTAATCCAGTCCACCACGTTTATCACAAAAACACACCAAGCAATAGTCACAATCAGGCAATTTTGTTAAGAAGCTGCAGAGCAAAATTAAAGCCTTTAAAACAATAAAGTTACCAGGCTGGGAGCAGTGGAAAAGTAGCACACACTATTCAATTCCTGCTGAGCTTCCTTGAGGTTGGACATTCAGCTCACAAGGAAGTATTTTTATCAAGATGTCCTGGTACCTCTGAGAATGTTTAGTTCCTTGGAGCTAATGAGTTTTTGCTTACGGTGTGTTGTAGCACACCCTTCCTAAGCCCCTTGAATGTCACAAGGAACAAAAAACTTTTCCCTGAAATACAAAGCCTTTTACTTTTAAATATAATGTAAGACTAGCCTTTCACTGAAAGAAACTGAACACTGGGAAACAGTCTTTGTATTTCCTTACAATACTGACATGAGCACAATCTGTTGCTTATAATTCTTAAAAGCAAGTGAACATAATTACTACATCCATTAGTTCACAAAGAAAATTTAAAAAAATTCTGAACTATCTGAAAGTTGCACAGGAAGAACTGATAAAAGAAAGAACCTGTTGTGCTATATCCTCCATCTACAAAAAAAATCAACAGCTTGTAATTTTTCATAGTTGAAATGCAAGGTTTAATTTATATCAAAACTGTAAACAGCTGTATGATGACTCTTAGGCATCAGTAGTATGTTTTACATTATTTATCCTGTCTATCCAAAATAAGAAGTCATCCTGTAATTCAGTTAAAGCTCTCCATTCTAAAGTGTGTTGTCACATTTTTATGACATGAAAAACATGTCATGTATTTCTACACCCAAGCTTTATTTTTCACTTATTTCTGTGAAAAGACCAACTTTTCAGTATTAGATAAAAACCATTACTGAATATTTGTAGCAAACCTTTATTTCTTAAGATACAGGGGAACATTACAGCCTGCAAATATGGTCGTCAGGATCATCTATATGTATAAGAAAACCTGTAATGCTACAATGGCAAAATTACCAACTCTGATTTGATGCCACACCATTTCTGAAGTAATGCATGACCTGGACAGACCCAGGCTTCTGCATATATTTATCTCATAGGAAACACTACATTATATACTTTTACTGGCCAGGAAATATATCAAAAAAAGAAAAATTTCAAAGAGTAATTTTATTAATGGAATAGGTTAAAGTTTATAGCAACTGAGCACTCAGAGCCAGCATAGCCCATACTGTACTTTGGTCTTATGTTCTGTCATGCCTAAAAATTATTTATATAACTCAAGAAAGCTGGGTGAAATAACAAAGATTAAGCTAGCCAGACTCTTCTTCAGAGTCAGACAATAGCCTTCCTGTTGTTATCTAATAAACACCATGTAACACATGAAGTCTCTGGAGATGAGCAGGGGTAAGGTTCATATACATACCACATTGACTGAATTTCTCCTTTAGCTTCTGCCAGGTCAAGTCAAAAGGAAGCTACAATAAAAAAGTATTATTGATAACAAAATATTACAATGAGATTAAGAGCAGGTAATCAAGCATACACACAAAATACACTTGTGGTTTCTATATATTTAATTGCTTACATTTCTCACAAATATCTGGTTGCCTTTAGAGCCTAATCTCTCTCTCATGCCACTTCCCATTGGGCCAGGCACAAATCCTCGATCGATGTCCATGTTCCTGTCCAGGCCTCCACCCATGGCTGGTCCCATTCGATCAAAACCAGAACCCATCCGATCCATTCCCATTCCTCCAGCCATATTGTTCATACCACCCATTCCACCACCTACACAGAGAAAGAAATGGAGGATAAAATAAAATCTCCTTTTAGTAATAAACACACAAGTATTTGGTATCAAATAAAGTTCTTGTGTCAGGAGAAGAATAACTTTATTAAAACTGCTGTAATATAAACCATAACTTATACATGCACAGTGATTTATTGAGGAACATGGCTAGTATTTTAAGACAAAGTATTACAAGATACAGAGTGTCAGTTCTAAAATAATAGTAAAACCAAACTGCATCAAGCTATTAGTCATACCATCTAATGCAGCAAAATGTTGAACACAAGAATTCAGATGTAAAGTCTGTCTTGTTTAATTAATAAAAATATGATACCCTTTACCAAAAAGATCAAAGAAGTAACTGCGGCAATACTTTGATACAGATAATTTGATCACATACACTATTTTTATTTGGCTTCCTGCATTTACAGTCATCTTTACTTAATGCAGCCATACCCATACCCAATTACAAAATCTTCTAGAGATGGCTGTTTTTTTTGCTGAGAACAGAAGTTACTGCAAGTACTGTAAACCTAAGTGTCATGGTTTAAACCCCAATAAAAAGTACATACATGGAATAAAATATACTAATTTATTTTATATAAAGAACAAAAAGCAATAGCATTCAAATACTATAATATTTCTGGATTCATAATTAAAAATGAGTGTACAGTAGAACTATCAAGATCATGCATGAGGGACCTTCTCTAAGCCTTATGCCTCCTAAGATTGGCACTAGCAGGATTTTAGTTTCTCATCTGCTCTAGCCTGAGGAACGGAGACAGTTGCTGCAATACAAACTCAGTATTGGAGCTTTGCACAAAATTAAACTGGGTGATAATCTGAAATTGAAGGCTGACTTTTTATTTCAATTATGACAGATTACTGAGGTTCAGCTTCATGAAGTTTACTCAAATAACTCTGCCTGTCTTTTTTTCTGAAACACAAGTTTAGTTTAATCACTTCTCCCTCCAAACTAGAAGTTGAAACCATTCCAAAACTAAGATTAAGGGAAAGACTCTATTAGCTAGTTTTCCTCTGAACTTTTACCTCAACAAAACAGCTTTGAGAACTGTTAGACTTGTCACATGCAACAGAATTCTACTTCCATCAACAGCAAGGCACTACACTACAGCAAGTTCCTCTGACACAAGTAGGTGTACACGGTATTGTTACATTGCCTATGCATTTATGTTCTATTGAAACAAGTTAAACCTACTCATTCCAGATCTTACTGGGCCCATGCTAGGTGCTCCCATTCCTCCTGCAAAAACACCAATCATTGCACCACCTAAACAGAGAAAAATAATGAAGTGACATACACTGAAACCACCAGTTAGTGAAAAAAACAAAGCACACACTAATGAAGTGCACTGATCTCAATGTTACCTGGCAATATTTTTCTATAAGGGCACTTTAACGTGTGTCTTTACTACACAAAGAAAATAGGAAAATCTAGTAAGTAAAATTAAGTTTCTCCTTTTCTACTACAGGATTTAAACTACTCTGATTTCTTTCTAGTTCTTCTCCCCTCTGACAGCCTGCCAGCAGCACAAACATGGTAAAACTAAATTCCCACATTGGGAAGAACAACTCAAAACTCAAGGCTTCATCTTATACAAACTTGATAGCATAAAAAGTCAACAATTCTGCTGCAAATTAAACATCCTCAATTCCACTCTGATACTATAGCCCAATCAAAAGACGCCTTCCTGGATTTCAAGGTTACTAAAATCAAATGCCTTCACAGTATTTCTTTTTAAGATACCATTAACCTAAATATTGTTACAGGAGTACATTAAGGCCTTCCCTGATCAAACAAAGTATCTATTAAAAGTCCCTACAGTTTCCTTCCATTATTTAAGTTTAGGCTGGAAATCTCTAATTTTTCTTCTCAGGACACTACTCAAATGGTCAGATCACTGACAGACTGTAAATTGAAGCTTGCTGGATCTACTGAATTAAAGACACCCACATCTATTTCTCACAGTGGCCATGTTCATGAATTTCTAAAACAACGTGTTGCCAGAAGACTCAGAAGCCTACTGCTTACAGAAACATTTATAACTGAAGTGGCCTTGCATTTTCACTCAGGAAACACATGTTTATGCAAGTAGCCAGAATTAAAGCATACACTTAATTTCTAAAACATTTATCCCAAGGCCTTAAGACTAGCTCAAAGGACGAGCTTATTATGTTCTTACCACTTCTACACAATTATCAGTATTGAAGAGAAGCACACAACAGTTCCCCTTTGCTATGACTTGCCTCAACTAATATTTTTTAAACTAAATAAACAAATCAGTAAATCAAACTTTTAGACCACATGAATCTTATGCTCATAGCAGTTCTTCTCTTTCAAGGAGGTAAATTAAGGGAATGGAAAAGTACAAGAAACAGGGAAGAGGAAGAACAGCTGTCTCCTATAATGCATTTTGTGTTCAGTTTTGGGCCCCTTACAACAAGAAGGCCATAGATGTACTGGAGTGTTTCCAGAAAAGGGCAACAAAGCTGATCAAGGCTTTGGAGCACAAGCCTTGTCTAGAATGGCTGAGGGAGCTGGGATGCTCATCCTAGACAGAAGACTCAGAGAGGACCTTTCTGCTCTCTCTAACTACCTGAAAGGAGGTTGCAGAGGTATGGGGGTCAGTTTCTTCTACCAAGTAACAAGCAATGGAACGAGAGAAAATGGCCTCAAGTTAAACCAGGGAGGTTTAGATTGGATATTAGGAAAATATGTTTCACAGGAAGAGTTGTCAATCATATAAACAGGCTGACCAACGAAGTGGTGGAGTCACTATCCCCAAAGGGATTTAAAAGACGTGTACATGTGGCTCTTGGTGACCTGGTTTAGTGGTGGACTTGGCAGTGTTGGGTTAAAGGTAGGACTTGGTGATCTTTTCCAACCTAAGGGATTCTATGATTCATCCAGGTAACAGCATTGTAACAAAAGACAAGAAGGCTCCCCTGGTGAGCTCTTCCACACCTCTGAAGATGGAAGAGTAACTCATTCGAGGCAACCCCATTGCCAACAACACCATCGATAAACAAAGTAATGCTGGCTCAGTTACAGAAGCAGCCAATAAACACCATTCTGAGCTATACGAGCTCAGAAGGCAGAACAAAAACTGAGGGCACCAAAATTCAACAGTCCTGTCCAATGCTACCTGATCTGCAGTAAAAACAGTATTATACCATGCATTTGTAAAACAGGCTTATGGAAGTTACAAAGGCTGTACATGGACAGCTTGTTCAGGATTATGAGAAGCATATACTTCAACACCCCAAAGATTTAATACACCACAAAATAAAGAGTATGAAAGTAAATGCTTTCCTCAAATAGATATTCCATTTATATTTTACAGAGGAGGGGGGAAAAACCCTCCATACCTGAACTTCTGTCTTAAGTGGTAACTGTAATGAACACTCAGATTACATCTTTACACTAATGACTGGGGGAGAAGGAACAGAAAATGACCAAGTGAAACAAGATCTCCTCTTCTTCTACAAAAATTATTCCAGTACTATGTCACAGAAAATTTAACAGTTACCATACCCATCCTTCCAAAAGACTCTCCAAAACCACGGTTCAATGCCATGTCACCACGACCAAATTCTCTTTCCATGTTTGCTCCCATTCCACCACGGAACATTTCTGTAAAGAACAAAGCAAAAAAAACCAGGAATATTTCTGTTATTTACGTTTAAGTTGATGCTCCTACAATGCTTGTTTCACAGCTGCTTGTTTACATAGAAGTGAGTCTAATGCACAAGTCAGAGGCACCTATTACACACTCAACTCTCCTGCCAGTTCCTAGGTCTCCACTCATGCAGCTACTTCATTTGAACTCATCTATATTACCCACCCCTAAATTGAGAGCTTTTAATAAATAAGCATTAGCAAACTAGTAGATGTGCAGGAACGGTGTTCAACTACCTCCCATTCGGTTGACTCCAAATCCTCCCATGTTAGGCATTCCTTCCATTCCACGAAATCCAGGAAGTCCTGTAAAATAAGGAAAAGTCTTTTCTATACAGTATTAAAAGAAATATTTAAAGCAAAAAACTTCATTGCACGTACCGCCTCCCATTCTACTCATTCCACCAAATCCTGGGCCGTCTATTCCCATACCTTTAAACCAAAAAGATAAACAACACTTAGTACACCCTAATGGATTTTTTAAAAGTCAGAGTTGAAATCTCAAAAGCACACTACATAAGGCTTGCTTTGTCAAAAATCTGACTTTTTCCAAACACAGAAATGACAATTTTAAACTTTTAAAATTTTTAACTAGCTCTGTATAACTTAAAAATGAAGCATATGGATTTACCTCCTGGACCCATGCTCCCCATTCCACCACCCATGCTCAGCTGTGTTGCACTGATGGGCTGTCCACCTGGTCCAAGCCCCATACCAATGCCACCAAGACCACCTCAAAAACAAAAAATAAAGAAGTATGATCAGAAGAGAGACCTTCCTCTGTATCACAGAGATCACAGTAAGCAAAAGTGTTACTAAACTGTGCCAAAAAACATGGATCACCATATACTAGGTGCAAGGAGTAGTAAACAGAGCGGGTACTCACGAGGTAATTGGGAGCTTTTGCTGTCCACAACACGGAAGTCTTCATGAGGAACTGATTTGTCATCCTGATAGAAAACAACGACGTTATGCTATGATCCTTTCAATGTTTTGCCAGAGACATATAAAGTAGAAAGAAATGAAAGCAACTTACCATTTTTACATGCATGGGTCTATCAAACAGGAATTGTCCATTGAACATAGCTGAAGAAATGCAAGTCAAGGAATCTTAAGGAGGCAATTTTAACTGTTTCTGAAGAATTCATGTAGTAACTTCTTATAAGACACACAGTAATTGTACAGAAATATCTTTCCCTATCTTATCTTCAGCAACCCAATTTAAGGGCCAGAAGACGTAATACATGCTGTTAGGTACATTAGTTTCACAATTGCCACACTGCCAGGTATTTTAGTTTTGTTCAACATCATGAGGAACTTTTAGAATTGAGTAGCAAATTCAGTCATTACAAATGTAATCTGCACATTATTACACTTTAGTCTCTGTATCATAGCTACAAGACAAACAAGCACCATTTGCAAAACTACACATTGCAGAACCATTAAACACTAATCAATATATGACCAATTATTTTTCAAAACCAAGGATACATATTGCTTGAACAGCTTCAATTGCTTGTTCAAAGGTAACTGTTCCCATTCCTCGACTCTTGCCATCTTTATCTTCTTTGATGTCTGCACGCTTCACAGTTCCAGCAATGCTGAATACCTCCTTCAGTTTCTTCCAGCCAACTTTGAAGTCAAGCTTAAACACAGAAATACATCAGTGATTTCAGTGCACATCTCTGTTCTGCCACTACATTTGGAAAAGATTTTCTGCATTGCTGTTAACTCTTCATTGACAAAGTGCTTGATAACTGCAAATACTTGAGATTTTGTAATATACATACACTGTGTCAAAGTCCAAAAAGTCAACAACTTACTCTGTGTACATGTATTTTACTTTAATCAACACAACACCATTGGGTTGTTTCTTGAGAAGAGCAGCTGTAATTCCATGAGATCTCATATAAATACAGTAGTCTTTTGTGCTAATAAAGTACTTGAACCACTGTATTTGTTGGAACTTTATTGTGTTAGTCTAAGGTAACCAGCAAGATAAACTGAAGATATATTTAATAAAAAAGAAATGCAATTGTAAATGGTGAAAAGATGTATAAAATATTTTTGAATCAACAGATGAATGCAATAATTAGAAGTGCATGTCAGTCTCAAGAGTTTAATATCTGTCCAAAATCTGAACACATACCCAACATTTTCAATTGAATATACTAACTGTGAACTATTTCCAATCTCTTCTTTATATTAAAACTGAACTACACGGGTATAAGATGTCTTACAAAGATCAAACAAAGTTATAAAACACAGATTTAAGCTTACATTGGCAACAAAAATCGTGGATCCAAGCCTGCCTGCTTGCAAATTACTGATAACCTCAGGAGGAATGTTTGGATTATTGAGAATAGACGGTGGTAAATTCATCATTCCAGGTGCTGCATCAGGTCCGTGTCCCCCTGGAAACTGCCCTCCTCCCCGCTGCAGTGCCCTACGAGCATGTTCCCCTTCAGGATCCTGAAATGTGGGCACAAACAAAGCCACTTAACCATCAACAACTGGACTGCAACAAACAAAATGGTACCATTAGAAATTCTGCATAAACCCATCAAAATTATCAACTAAGAAACACTTGTCCATGTTAGAGGGATCATGAACTGAATTAGCATGGAGACCTAATTCCCTCACCTCTAGAGGTGGGTCCTCTCAGATGAGGGCTGAGGCATATTGGCAAAGCACTTGTTGAGGAAGCGTGCACTGCCACTTCACATGCTGTACCTAGCCTATGGACAAGTAGAAAAGATTTCAAGCTAAAGGACTGTTAGTCTAGCACTCAAGACCTGAATTTATTTAGTTAGGTGGTGGTTTTGTATTATTTATTAATACCCTTTTTAAAATTGTAACAGGACAGGAAGAGCTGCATCAGATGCCATCATATGCTGCAGCAATACAACAGAAATGCTGACGTTATTTCACTTTCCAGAGTGCTCAACTTCTCCATTTCCAGCCCCATGTTTGCACACATGTAGTGGTTTAATAGTTAGCTCATTCTGTGTCATATTTTGAAGCCGGTAAGCAATATAAACATAGAATTACTTAGGTTGGAGAAGACCTGATGACAATAAGGTAAGAGAATATGAAGTAAAGTGTTTTAACAAAAAACAACATTAGATTATTTTGACTTTAAGACATACTTTTTGTCAGTTTGCTTGGCATAGTATCCAACCTTCTGCAAGACAACAGGCAGTTCAGCCCATTAAGAAAATTTCAGAAATAATGAAACTGGAAATTATACATCAAAGATTCTCAAAACGCTGTATGGTCATCTCAGGAGTTTAGCATCTTCACCATTTCAAATTCAAAACAGCAGCAACAAACATACCTCTTTAATATTCAGGGGTCTTCCACTAAGATCATATTTGTTCATAGTGTCTAATGCCTTCTTAACAAATTCTTCATCTTTGAATTCAACCACGCTTAGAAAGAGACCAAAACATTTAGAGTATTAAAATAAAGTTTAACATGCTAAAACTAAAAGAATGTCTGGATAGCAGTGTGCTTCTACACACATAAAAAAAGAAACTTACCCACAACCCTACATCCACGAGATTTGTCATCATATGTAAAGAGAAAACAAGCAAAAAAACAAGAAGTCAGTCAGCACATATGACACAGCAATGAAGATTCCAGTTAAAGATCCCAGTTCACTGTTAAGTAACTATACAAGTTATTTTCAGCTTCCAAATCCGTAATATATGCTCTTTAGTGGTAGCCAATCTGAATTTCTCCTGCTTTCTCAGCATACATACCAGTCAAATGCAAGAGAATACATTGTCTCTTAAGCTCTTTGAGTCAAACCAGAATTGGAAAAATGCCACACAGATCCATGTAAGGACAACTGGGAAGAGGAGGTAGGAGGGAAAGGGTGGAAAGAAAATAACCCCAAAACATAACCAAAAACCAATCAAGACACTCGTGATGTCATTAAAAGCTGTCCACTAACTACAAAATTCAAATCTACCTATATCAAGTACACCACTACAATGAAAAAGCAGTCTGCATACCTCTTCAGTACTACAGCATAATTGAGAAATTGCCTTATAAGAAAATAACCTTATTGACTGCACCAGCATCCTTCTTATAAAGCAAAGAGTTGAGGATTTCTTTAAGTATTGCAAAGCTGACAGCATGTTTTAGTTTTAACAAGTATTAAAGAAGTCATTTACAACAATTGATACAACCTCAGTTAAGATTCAAACCTGCATTTCTCACGTTCTCACTGCAGGTTTGGAGCTGCTATTGGCCAAACTTTTGACTATTATTAAGAAGACAGAGGAGCTTTAACAATCTTCATTATTAGTGCCTCATTGCAGGCACTCTGTTGGCTACCAACAATCTCCATCCATTTAGTTTTAAGAAAGTAAATAGCACTGAGCCATTGTTTAAAAGTACCAACCCTGCAAAGCTGTGAAATCAGGCACTTCACCCAGTATATTCTTAGCTAACTTTTTATATTTATTGGCCCCAAGAAGAGAATACTACACTAACAAAATTTAAATAAAATGATTGATTTAATGAACATCCTTTATATGAAACAGATTTGTACCAAGACAAAGATGTTGGCTAAAAAGAAGAATTAAGTAAATGCAATTTGTTAACATTTACAGAAGTACTTTGTCCCTTACAACCAGCTAGTGAGAGTTGCATGAAGGTATCAGACTACTTCTAATAGAGAATCCTCAAGGCTACCTTAATGAAAATCAGTGTAAAAATGAAACTTACTTTCCAATAACTGGTATAGGTATTATACAAAAATAAAACTGCTGAGGAACTTTTAAACCTCTAGCAGATTGTTGCCCACGGCACTTACCCTTGATTTTCCTTCAGCATCCTTAAACAGCTCCACGTATGTAACCTCACCAACTACATAAGACATACAAAGGGAAAATACCAAGAGACAATGCATTTAAACACCAGTATCTTTCTTTACTGTGCCCCTGTGCACAAGTCTACAGAGAATCACCTATTATTCACCAACAATCAAAACCAGACCAGCATACCTCCTGTCAATGGCTATATAATTTAGCTAATTTTCAGAAATATGCAGCAGCCACATTCTCAAAAGCTAAAAACAAACAACTATATTTAACCTAATTCATACTACAGATCATATTTTGGCCAGTATGATATAGTTGGTGAACAAATTCAGATATACACAGTCCCTTAACCTAACAAATGAAACGTCAACGTTCACTGAAAAGTGTTACATTTATCATCCTACTCACAACACCTGTTTTAAGGTGACTTTCTACCTGAATATCTTCAATCAAAAGTTTGCCTTCAATAATAACCAAATTTACACATCAAATATTGCACAGCAAGCGACTCACTTTCTAAAGTAGGAAGTTTAAGTAAATCAACCAATCAAATAGTCACGTCACCTTACAACAGATAAACCAGCAGTTACAGAAGGGGGGTCTGGCATTTTTCACAGCCTAAAAGCCAAGTGTGCTTTGCATTACTTTTGAAGAATCAATTTTTCAAGGAAAACACAGAACTAACTTTTTACAAAATCAATATATTATCGTTATTTTACCCCAAATGTAAAATAACATTTTTGGGGTAGTCAGATTTCTCTATCAGAACTGCAACAATAGTAACAAGCTTTTAAGAAAAAGCTCCAGACAAACAGTCATGGCAGTAGTGACAATGCAGACAAAGTTAATGCCACAGCCAGATTCCACCAAAGAAATACAAAACAACTTTTGAAAGACATCCCTTATTATTCAGGTTAACACACTTCGTGTGTTGCTTAAATACAATAGCCCTTAGAGAAAAAGAAATCTACAAGAACTACAACTAGACAAAACACAATCTCTTTAAGAACTCATGAGGTCATGCATATACTCTCTACTGTCACACCAGAATGGCAGAAGATTGTGAGCACTTCATTTACCCAGCCTACCCTGCAATGCAATTGTCTCGGATGAAAGAGGGGGAAGGGAGATAGATGTACCAAGTAAAGGCCAAAACAAAAAGTCAAATCAAATCTGTGTGGCTCAAAGGACACATCGGTTGCATTGAAGCCCTATCAGTTTCTGTGGAAGTGTGTCACAAGGAATAAGTTACCTTTCTCTCTCATCAGGTCTTTAATAGCTTGCCATTTCATGTCATACGGGATGTTGCTAATAAAAACTCTATTGCGATTAACAGCCTTCTTGTCTCCAGAGCCTGTGTTCTTCTCCTTTGCATAGGGGTGGAATCTATTCTTGTTTCCAAGAGAAGGGATTGCCTTCGCTTTTGCAACGAATTTCTCTTTCACAGGTGCTTTCCCTTCTTTTGCTGTCTCATCATTATCCCTACATTAAAAACAAAAACCCAAACAAAAACACTATTAGTCTTGTGTTGGATCATTAGATTGTCCCACTTCCTAGCTATATAATTGCATATTTCTTATGATATTGGAATTCCCAAGATGTCAAATGCTGCTTTTCAAATTAGGAAAAATAAATTCATGCTACCAGAGTAATTCCAAAATTCACTGTTTTATAAAGAACAAAAAAATGATACAATATTAAGTAAAGAAAGTACACCTTACTAATTCCTTTATATTCCATTCCACAGAATCATAGAATGCTAGAATGGTTTGGGTTGGAAGAGACGTTAAAGATCACCTAATTCCAAGCCCCCTGCCATGGGCAGGGAGGGACACCTTTCACTAGATCACCTTACTCAGGGCTCCATCCAACTTTTAACACTTCCAGGGATGGGGCATCCACAACTCTGGGCAACCTGTGCCAGCACATCTTGTCTGTCAAGACTCAGAAAGATGGAACTATGAAACTACTACAAAGCCCTAAACAGAAAGAGTGAAAAATCAGCTACAGTACCCATGCCTTGGTGCTTTGGTAATGTTCACACCTCACTTGGACAAGTTACAGGATATTCACCACAGAAGTGGGAGTAGAAACAGTCTAAGCTTGGGAACTGAAACAGCTCAGGATGCTTCATTCAATGGAAAAATAGTGTATCTAAATCAACTCCAGTTAGTTTTTTATCAAATTATGTTTTATCTACCCTATAAATAATTTTATTCGCAATTTGTGCCAGACTACTGTTAGACAGAAATTAAAATTCAACTAAGAACAACAAATATCTTTTCAGTTTCACTGCTTAACACAACTAGAATTTGAAAACTTGCTAAATGCATAGGAAACAGCTGTATTAAGCCATGCTATGAATCTAAGACTAATTAAGTAACTAGGTATTATCCACTAAAAACAAGAAAACAGATGCCTGGCCCTCCGTCTTTCGAAACTTCACCAATAGCACCGAAATTCTCCTTTCAAAATATTTTTTTTTAGATGAAAATGCAAGAAAATTGGCTGTTTCTCTTTTAAGGCAGTCCAAATCTCAATTTCAGTAAGACCATGCACTTCAACAGAATTAGAAGAAATATCTATAACTCTTCAGCGTTCCTGATATTGTTACCATCACCAGGTCATTTAGCATGCTGAAGCTCAAGATGCCTGAATTGTTACTTTTAAAAAGGAGAACTGCTGAACTGAAAGAATCCACTGAATAAAGTCACACAAATGTGATCCACTAAACAGATGCTACTTAGCATTTTTAACTACACATCACTGTCTACTTAAAGAGAAACTTAAAAAGTACTTTTACAGAAACATGTATTTTTAAAAGCCAGAATTAGCATTTTGAGTTAGAACAACTAGAAGGTGCTGTCCTACAGGACTGACAGAAGTGAATGAATGTGAACCTCCTTTCTTAAATTACATTGCTATCTTTACTGTATTTCCCACATTTTAGAAGGTTTAGTTTTTATCTCATTTCGACACTTCAGAAGGTTCCAGGCATTTGAGTTTTACAACCACAGCATATGGCAAAAACAGTGATTTTGATTAACAGACAGATTTTCAGCTCTCTGCACAGTTAACAAAACAGTAAGTGGCAGTCCTGTACTCAAAAGCGCATGCAAGAAGATTTTTATGAAGCTAAATGTATCATCTACTCAAGCCTGGGCACTTTTCAGGGAAGAGTACATTCAAATATAGCCATATTTCTCCCATGACTTTTTCCCCAATTTTGAAATACTCATATGGGATTAACTTCACAGTCCTTGTGTTTACTCGTGGATTAGCAACTGGGAAATGCATGGATACTCCCCTGGGGCAAGTATTTGTAAAATCTAAAACATCTCAAGTCAACAACACGTTATCTGGTTCAAGCATCCTCCAACGTTCCTCTGCATCATCCCTCCTCCACACCACCCTGTCTGTGTGACAACATAATTCTTGTGTGGCTGTGTAATGAAGTGAAATGAAGGGAACAATGTAGGAACTGGAGGGATTCAGGGAGGAGGCAAAGAGCTGAGTATCAGGTCTTCCAGTCAGATCAGTTCCTTCCAATCCCATCTGCAAATGCAAAACTCCTGCCCAACGAGACTCCTAGTAAAAATCTGAGTTCTTCCTTAAGTTTTAGGATTAGAGAAATGGATTCTCTTCAGCCTTTTAAGCTCTTTCCTGCTTAAAGGATTATGAAAAAGCCCCTTGGTGCACAGGATGAGACAAGTCTCCAAATATGGAATCCAGAGGCTCTGCAAGACCTGCCTGTACAAATCAGTAAAAAGCACAGAAGATACAAGCCTGGCACAAACTCCTATACCTGGGAAATAAAGCAACACTGCACTTGGTCTGGGAATCACAGCCAGGCTGCTGAAAATAGAGGATTAATTAAAGAAACAATCCTTCTTGCAAAACTCATCTGCCAAAACCAACACAGGCCAGCGAACAGGCCAGAGGCAGAGATCCTTTTACAACTCTTACCCTCCTCCTTGAATATTAAAAATAATTTCAATCAAATAATACACTCAAAGCAGTGTCACTTTAGTCACCTACAGACCACAGAAAAGCCAGACTCAGAAATTGTGAAGTGACATTTTCATGGGGGGAAAAACAACAGTAATTTCTAATCTTTACCTTTTGTATGAGCTACACATTTCCTACATTAAATTAGTATTTGCCTGTGAAATCACAGACCATCACCATTCCTAGGACTGGAAAAAAGATGTCTGCAATTAGTTCTTAAAAAAAAAATACATATGCTCATTGATTTGAAAGATCAATTATACCTTTGGAAAAGAAAAAGCTTTTGAACTTTCCATAAAGTTTTGAAGACAAAAGACAAGCTTTCCACATGCAAAAGTAGAAGCCTAAAAACAATAAGCATATGATGTATCAACATGAAAGCCCTAAAACTTGATTTTTTTAAAACAAACTTCTGCTCCTCTCCTCAAAAGTGTGCAGAATAAGCAGACAGAAATGGAAGAAGTTCATAGCATGTGATTCCAAAGCACATGGATAACTTTAGCTTTGTTGTGCTGAACAGTTCCACTGCCCAACACAAAAAACTTAGGGAAGCGTGCAAACTGAGCCAGGATTCCTCTCCAGTTTAATGAATGCTAAGCAAATCAGGTTAATGAAATACTTATTTTAAAGTAATACATTTCACCTACACACTGACAGCTTAATCCCTTGTACACCCGTTTAGGGGAAGATTAGAAACTGTATGTGAAAGAGTAAGATTTGCATTTCTGTTACCAAGAACCCCCATTACTTTCAAACTTCAAGTTGTGACTTCTACCACATAGAATGACTGGGATTTTTCATTGGCTTGTGAGGTTTTGGAGGGAAAAGAAGATATTGTTGACAGGAGGGATACAGAGAAAACATATAATTTCAGCAGTAGCAACCTCAAAAGGCAATAAAATTTATACACCTAAAAGGGGCAAAAGGGTGACAACCATCCTGTGAAAATACAATTCTAATCTGTGCAGTTTAGAAGCTGAGGGCCAGACTAGGGGGAAAAACCACAAATCCACAAATTCAATTTTAGAGTAAAGTAGAATTTATAGCTTGTAAACTAAACTAAATTTTACAGAGTCAAGTAAAGGCATGAAGTACATCTTTATTCCTCCAGCTTTATACTGAACATGATCCCACAAGCATTTTTTTAAACACAACGGTATCAGAGCACGGCTGCTTAGAACATGTCAAAACTTCACAGACACCAACAGCTTTGATGTACTGTAAGTCTCCTGGAAATGTATTTCCCTCCAAGATCTGAATGAGATTGGAAGAGAAATTGAAATTCCAACGATCTTAGGCCAAAACCTAGTTCATGTAAAGAGAAACAACCCTCAAAGCCTGATATCAAGAACAACCACGCATACAAAGTTATCCACGGTATTGTTCCAGATAGCTGGTAGTTACAGCTCCCTTATACTAAGTTCCTTTTACACCTACTATACAAAGCATAATTTTACATACTCCGTGTATGAAAATGTTACCGTTTCCAAGAAAACTTCGTGCATGCATGTGCGGGGTTTGTTTTTAGAAAGTAAATTACTATAGGTCTGTCTTACCATTCTCACGTAAACAAAAGACTAGCTTAACGACTTTACAAATAACAACGTTTCAGCACGAAGCGGAAACGTAAACGGCACCAGAAGCGATGCAGAACACTGCTGGAGGAGCATCCCGTGGGAACCGGTCCGCCGGGTACCAGAGCCCGGGGCTCGGAGCGCAGCCCTGCGGGGCGGCCTCGCAGCGCGCAGCCCTCGGGGCCGCTGCCCGAGAACCGCCACCCGCCCCGCGCCCAGGCCGCGGCCCCCCGAGCTCCCGGGCCGGGAAGGCCCCCCCGCCGCCCGGCCCCGGCCGTGCCCCGACCCCGCGGAGGAGGAGCCACGGGGGCGGGGGGGTCCGGCCACCTCCTCCCGCTGCACCCCCGGCCGCGTATCCCCCGCTACCCTCCCGGCCCTGCTCTCACACACATTTTGACGCCATTTGCGCTGCCCGCGCCGCTACCGGGTGCCGCGGCCGCCGCCGCCGCCGCCGCCTCCTCATCCTGCGGCGGCTGTTGCGGCGTCTGTTGTTGCGGTGCCGGCTGCTGCTGCGGCTGCTGCTGCTGCTGCGGCGACGGCTGTGGCGCCTGGCCGGCCGCCTCCTCGGCTCGGCGCGGCGCGGCCGCCTCCGCCCTATCGCTCTCCGCCATCTCGTGCCGGGCCGCGGCCCAGCGACCGCCGGTTTGAAACGGGCCCCGACCGCCTCGGCCTCGCCGCGCCGCGCCGCGCCAAGTCTCGCGAGAGCGCCGCTCGCGGCCGGGGGAGGGCACGCGCGCCGAGGCTTTGTGCGTTGCCGTGGCGACGCGAGCACTGCCTGGCCGCCATGGCCGCCGCTGCGCCTCACAACAGCCGCCTGCTCTGAGTCACTGAATCGCTCAGTCGCAGAAATAGCTCGGTTGGGAAGGACCTCTGAGAGCTTCAAGTCCACCCTTTACTATAGCACTGCTAAGTACATCACTAAGCCAAGTCCCCAAGTGCCACATCTTAACGTCTTTGAAATCCCTCCTGCAATGGTGACTCCACCACTTCCCCTGCAGCCTGTGCCAGTGATGGACAGCCCGTTCCGTGAAGAACTTTTTCCTAATATCCAACCTAAACCTCCTCTGGTGCAAGTTCAGGCCATTTCCTATTGCCCTATCACTTGTTTCATGGGAGAAGAGACCAACTCTCACCTGGCTACATCCTCCTTTCAGACAGTTGTAGAAAGCACTAATGGATCCTCCTGAGCCTTCTTTTCTCCAGGCTGAACACTCCCTCAGATGCTCCTTACAAGACCTATGCTCCAGACGCTTGATCAGCTCCACTGCCCTTCTCTGCACACACTTCTGCACCTCAATGTCCTTCTTGCTGTGAAGGGCCCAAAACTGAACACAGGATTCATTGTGCAACCTCACCAGTGTGAGTAGAGGGGGATGATCACTGCTCTAGTCCTGCTGGCCACACCATACCTGATTAAAAAAAATTGTATGGTCTTTTTCCAAACATTTCAGTACCCCTCAACATTAAGAAGATCCCTATATTCATTGTGAACTGAAGGTTCCCAAATTCTGAAGGATTTGGATACAAACCAGCCCTTAATCTGTGTTGGGAGAGCTCAGATAAAATACAGAATTCATATAGAATATGCTGAGTGGGAAGGGACTCGTCAGGATCATCCAGTCCAACTCCTGGCCCTGCACAAAACACAAGAGTCACAACCTGTGCCCAAGAGCATTGTCCAAACACTTCTGGAACTTTCTCAGGCTTGGTGCTGCAACCACTTCCCCAAGGAGCCTGTTCCAGTGCTCAACCATGCTCTGGGTGAAAAACCTTCTCCTAATGTAACCTAAACCCCTCCTGACTCAGCTTCCTGTTGTTTCCTCGAGTCCTGTCATAGAGAGATCAGTAGCTGCGCTTCTGCTTCCCCTTGTGATAATGTCGAAGATCCCAATGAGGTCTCCCTTCTGTCTCCTCCAGGCTGACCAAGTGACCTCAGTCACTCCTCATAAGGCCTCCAGACACTCCACCATCTATTGGACAAAGTTTAATAATTTTACTAACCACAAATACAAAAGCATTTCTAAAGGGATAACCAAGTATTATATAAATATCTAAGGAAAGCCATTCAGTCCTCTGCAATGAATTTAGATTGGTGGCTTCTGGTTGCTGACCTACTGACCTGTACTAATGTGGCTTTTGGAAGTAAACTCCTTATGAGCTGCTGAGACTCTTTTGTCTGTCCTTATAACTGCCATAGCAGGTGTTGGTAACATGAGATTTTGGAGAAAGCACTCAGAGCTACTGCAAAACACCCCAATAACCTCCATTCCAGATGAAGGTAGAAAGGCATGTCCTGAGGTCTGATAAGAGATGTAATTCTGTTCACACATTAACCGTAATTAGATAACTATCTTGGTATTTGCGATAATAATCACAGCTGGAATAGTTAATGTTTACTTGATATTGCTGTCATTACATTTTACAGCTCTCACTTCTGCAGGATGAAGGGGAGTAATTCCCATGTTCAGGTTACCAGACCCTCTGTTTGACTGTGCTTTGCACAGAGCATCTCAAGTGTTGGAATCTTATACTCCCTAAAGCAGTGTTATGGCACCAAGCAGCTGACACTGAATTCCTGTGCTCATGGGCCTGTGGATGTAACAGGAGTTGCTGACTTTCTTACACACAGTTTGCCTACTTCTTCTGAAGAATCTACTGACGGTTTCAACTGCTACCTCCCTAAGTTTGTATGCCTTTTGGGCCCGTGGGTCTGCCTGAGGTGAAGTCAGTTTTCCCCACAGCAGCCCTCAGTGCTGTGCTCTGAACTGGTAGCTGGAAAAGACTTGGTAAGACATTGGTGTTTGCTGGGACAGCACCACAGCTGTATCTCCAACATTCCCCTCTCACCAGTGGGCTGAGGGTGTGCAAGATCTTGGCACAGGACACAGCCAGGACAGTTGACCCGAACTATCTAAAGGGATATTCCATACCATCTGCACAGCAACAAAAGCCAAGAAAAAGGAGAGGCAAGGGTGGGGAGAGAGGACATTTGTTATGACATTTGTCTTCCAGAGCAACTGCTATGTGTACTGCCTCCCAGGAAGTGGCTGGACATTGCCTGCTGATGGGAAAGAGAGAGTAAATCTGTTTTCCTTGGCTTCCATACACAGTTTTGGCTTTATTCAACTGCCTTTATGTTGATCCATGAGTTTTTTCCATCTTATTTTCTTGCACTTCACCCTGTTGAAGAGTGCTGGAGCAACTTAGTGGGCACCTGATAGCCAGCCAAGATCGACCCACCACAGCCCAGTGTGTATGGTTTTGTACCAGTAAACTCTGCTGTCACACAATAGGTTTTGCAATAAATACTCAGAACTGCACAATCCATACACATCCAAAGATGTGTGAAGAGTGTTTTGTATTAAGGCTGCACTGGGGCATAGACTGGCTAAAAGCCTGGAGGAGTTATGGTAGCTTTGCCCTCATACCACAACTCCAATTTAGAGCATTCTGTTCAGCTCAGTTGCCTGTGTCAGGATTTTTATGGCAGTCTTACCTCCTCTTCTACAAGTTGCACACACAGTCACTCAGTATATCTGTCTTCAGAGAAAAATCATACAAATGGGATACAAAGAGCTGTTAGGGACCTGACAGGGGAGAACTGGGATTAAAAAGTAGAATTTCTTTGGTCTACAAAACTGCGTTGAAAAATGTTTTAAGTTTTTCCCTAGGAAGACTCTTGAGTATAACATGATTGAATTTTTTTTTAATCTACTCACCATAGTTAAGTGTAAAAAAAGATAATGTTGTCTTTCCATGCCATTTCCTGTGCTGACAAAAATCTCCTTTGTTACACACTGCTGGTCCCTCCTGGGAATATTTAAAATTATCTTTTGATATATGGGCTTCCAACATTTCTTCTGCCTCTGTTCATGTTCTTACAGGAGACAGACAAGATTTTTGAGGAATGTTCTTGTTAAAAGGGGATCCTTCATTTAGTACAACACTGTTACAAGTGTTCTTGATCTGCTCTCCTAACAAATTCCTCTTGTCATCCCCCAACATAAATGGTGTTTCATAGTTATAAGTAGGGTGTATGGCATAATGGTTGTACATTCTTGGCAAGCACAGAGTTGACAGTACTAATTTACACACAGAGTTGAGGATAATGAAATATTATTAATGTTCTTGCATATATATGTAAATATAAACAATGGTAAAGGAACTACTACTGAAAATGTCTTGTACAAGTAGTTACTGAGGTAAAATAATTATGTGTATTTTAAGGATCAGCATTATTTGCAGTAACTCTCCAGTAAATTCAAGTCCCAAGTCCTCAGTGACAAACAAGGCATGGCTCCCAATATGCTAATGAACAAATATGTATCCTTTGAGAAAGGACCACTTTCATTCATCTTTTGTTTATCCCAATATTTTTTAAAATTTTGTTTCTGGTTAAGTCATGATCAAAAGCAGTTCAGCAATACTTTTATCAGGTGGGATTTGTGAAAAAATTCTATGTTCCTGAAAGTCCGTTTCTATGGAACTGCATAAAATGGGAATTTTGAGCCTCATAGCTTTTAAATCCGTTTGACTTTTCTTTTTTTTTCTTTTTTTTTTGGTAAATTACTGTTTTCAGTTCTCACCTATATGATGCCTATATGGTAGATATGTCACACATAATTCTTCCTTTGTTTTCCTGGTACCTAAATGTCCTTAGCATTTTTTGTACCCTCTCCCTTCTCCAGGAAGCCCCAACTACAACTGGAGAAGGATTCCTTTAGCAATATATTTACTTTGTAAATATTTTTACTTTCATACCTTATTTAAAGATTCCTTTTTGCACAGACACAAGTATTTCCAGACTAGTCTGCACTGCCTAAGGCTGCATCCAACCTGCACTGCTTTACTTTGTGCTAAAAAAAAAAAAATTAACCCTACTCTGCAACTGGCACCCTCTTTTGCATACTTATAGTGGACCTATAGTAAAGCAAATCCTATTTTCCCCAAAGGTTCTCTTTGCATTTAAGCATTATAGAAACAACGGGGTATCAGTAAACCAGGAGACCTGCTCTACTTGATCTGCAGGGACCTAACTTGTTTTCCCCCATGGAAGGCTTATATCTCCCTAAGTATCATTAAATTTTTTTTCAGTGTTGTGCAACCTTTGATCACAGCCTGAGTCTCAATCACCTATTTTTTTACCCCTAAAAGGCTGCATGAGACCAGACTTCTGGTAACACTTTTACTGTTCCTATATGGAAACAATTCCTATTACCCCTCTTCCCCCAGACATGACTCTAGCTGAATGACAAAAGAAAAAAACTGAGCAATCTGCTTTTTTGTTGGTCCTTCTTCCACTGTCAGTCTGAGTGCCCCTAACATACCCACCACCTGTGCCTCTCAAGTGAGGCAGCAAACACCTCTCTCCTGCAGGTGCAAGGGGAGCTCATCCTTCCCTTTGCCCTGTCGTGGCTGGCCGGGGGCTCGCCCCAATGCCGAGGTGGAGGAGTTGGGGCCATTTGCCTCCTCATGGACAAACTCTCCCATCCCACCCACACAAGGTGGCACTGTTGGTTTTCACTGTATTCGTGCACTCTTCCACCTTCCCCAACACTAGCACTGATTGGACCTAAAGGGGGTGATTTTCAACCTTCCTCAGTTTCTGAAT